AAATCAAAATAAGAGTGGGCCATAGCCCTGCTGTTAATGCGAAGGATGGTGAGATGACCTAGTGCTCTAGAGTGTAGAGCTTAGAGCTCTAGTTGGCCAGTCACCTCTGGCTTGCGGTCGTTGTTTCGATCCCTGGTGTGAACATATGTGGCTTGGAGATATGGGCGCCTTCCCAACCTTTTCCTCCATCATAAAAGACCCCTGCACGTGTGCTAAGCAAAATCAAATAAGAGAACTGGTCTGTGATATCACCATTGGTGGAAATGGACGTTAAACAATAAGCATTTAAGGCAATTTTCCCCAAAGCAAACCCCATGACGTATGCTTGTCTTCACATCATTAGTATTAGCCCTTTGGGTCAGAAAAGACATCAAACCCCATTTTAATTTGTATCTTATGTGTATTGTAAATCATGAAACATATTTACCGGGTGAGACAAGAATGGAACTATCTCTTGTACAAATTCTTGTAACATGGATTTCTGTAGTAGGCCAAGTTCAGCCAGAGCTTTCAGAGCACCTAGTGCTTTGTGGAGAACATATTCTTCTGGATCAGATAAACCCTGGAAGAAAAACACATGTGATTTAGACAACACAACTTCATGATTTAACCATATAAGTGGTTTATTTGTTTTTTTTAAAGGTGGAGCCATGGTGGTTTAAGTGGGTAAGACGCTGGCTCACTAACCTGGAGTTCGCGTGTTCGATCCCTGCATTGGCTGATAAAGTTCATCAGGATTTTACAGCATGGTTCCCAATTGTCAGTGGCGCAGGCAGAGGGCCTACCAAGGACAGCTGTCTAGTCATTCGGATGGGATGATAAATCGAGGACCTGTGTATACATTATTTCATTAATTTGTGGTGCAGGATAGCTGTCTAGTCATTTGGATGGGACGAAAAACTGAGGTGCTGAATATACATTGGTGCGCACGTAAAAGATCCCTTGGCAGTTGGAATTGATATAAGAGTAGGCCATAGTGTCCCTGCCCAGGCGAAATTTCCCTCATAGCACACTGTATGGTGAATGCCTGTCTTCATTAGCCCAGTCAGAGCAGAACAGTAGGACTTCAAACCATATTTCATTTCATTTCATTATAAGGCAAATTTCTAATTATTTAGAATAATAAAGGTTTGTCTATTATACTTGTTATAGTAAAGGTTTGTCTATTATACCTGTTATAGTAAAGGTTTGTTTATCGTACCTGTTGTTGTAAAGGTTTGTTTATCGTACCTGTTGTTGTAAAGGTTTGTTTATCATACCTGTTGTAGTAAAGGTTTGTTTATCGTACCTGTTGTTGTAAAGGTTTGTTTATCGTACCTGTTGTTGTAAAGGTTTGTTTATTGTACCTGTTGTTGTAAAGGTTTGTTTATCGTACCTGTTGTAGTAAAGGTTTGTTTATCGTACCTGTTGTTGTAAAGGTTTGTTTATCGTACCTGTTGCAGTAAAGGTTTCAACATGGCTGAACTCTGCCATCCAATATACGCTGCTACACCGACTATATTATCAAAAAATGATCCCCGTAACTGCCAATCATACTGAAAACAACATTATTCAATATCTCAAATATGTGAGAAAACACAGTATATAAAAAATTGTAACGAGTTACTAAGCAACTCAGCGTTTAGTCTCTACTTTCCAGGGGCTATATTCTTGAAATTTGAATCTTTATGATGTTATAACTCATTATGGAGAGAATCAGAAACTTGTTTTGAAAAGAATTTCTTTGATGATGAGTTGGTTTGATCCAGTCTTAATTGTTGCTTATCCCATTTACAAGGCATAAGGACTTGGATATAATAAAACATGCACACGGTCATCCTGGTTAATTTGATACCACATATGTAGGGGTTGAGCACAGCGACGAAGTGTGATGGGTGAACATACATACACACTTTGTTTTTATAGATTTGAAATTAGAAAAAAGACCTGCACTGGGCAGATTTAGCTCTTATATAATGCATCTTTAATAAATATTGTTACCTTGTCATTGAGAAACGTAATCATATGTGACAGTAAGACATCGCTTGCTGAAAAATACAAAAATTATCCTAATTAATTCAAATTAATGAGATATAAAAATTTGGCCATAATAGAGAGAGAGAGAGAGAGATATGGCTTGAGAGAGAGAGAGATATGGCTTAATGTCCACTCGAGCAGCAGAACAGCAGGACATTAAACCCCATTTCATTTCAACACCTTTGGAGATAATAAATGGTTATTAACACCCTTGGACACTGTAACTCTAAAGGTACGATTGCACCTTTAACTATGGAAATGGAAGTGGTACAATTTCTTAATCGTTGATCTATCATTGACCTATGCTAGACGAGCCCCTCACTAACCCTGATCTATCTCTACCCTATACTTTACTAGCCCCTCACGAACCATCATTTATCTCTGACCTAGACGAGCCCCTCACTAACCCTGATCTATCTCTACCCTATACTTTACTAGCCCCTCACTAACCATCATCTATCTCTGACCTAGACGAGCCCCTCACTAACCCTGATCTATCTCTACCCTATACTTTACTAGCCCCTCACGAACCATCATTTATCTCTGACCTAGACGAGCCCCTCACTAACCCTGATCTATCTCTACCCTATACTTTACTAGCCCCTCACTAACCATCATCTATCTCTGACCTAGACGAGCCCCTCACTAACCCTGATCTATCTCTGACCTAGACGAGCCCCTCACTAACTCTGATTTATCTCTGACCTAGACGAGCCCCTCACTATTGCCTGGTTTCACTCGAAATATCACCCAAGGTGGAAGAGGAGGTTAAACTCAACACCCAGTCAACCCAACTAATCAAGTTAGCTGATATAGTCAATGACAGACTTTATGACCTAAAGCGCACACATTTGACCACTTAACACCCAGTCATCCCAACAAATCAAGCATGTTGATAGTGAATTTACCTTTTTGTCTTCCAAAGAATACACACAATCTGGTTATACCACTCTCTAACAATGTCTGTTTGACGGTATTATCGGGATCACTGAGTAACGTTACAACTTTCTGTTGTATTATCGTCTGTAACGTTTGTAACTCAGAATCGTAACTCGACTCCATCTAAAATATAAATTTGCAGAGTAACATGTAACATATCGCCATTCTGTGATGTCCTTACCTGTTTTTTTTTGCTAGATTTCACCTTGCAAGATTCATTAGATTTAACTTTGCATGATTTACTATGGTTCGATCTTCTGAACTGAACTGGAAAAGTAAATCTCGATTTTTGGCCGATGTGTGAGGTGTGCAGCTCCATTGATTTTTCGAGAACTGCAGAATGCCAGATGATATGGCGAGAGAGAGAGAGAGAAATGGGGTTTAACGTCCACTTGACACAAATTAGGTCACTTCGGGACTAACATATGGTTCAATTTTATTTCAATAATTTGTATGCGTATAGGGGTCTTTAGCAGTGGGAGGAAACCGGAGGACCTGGAGAAAACCCACGAGGTTGGACAGGCGATGCTACTCCTTGTCACATACAACCAGGGAATCAAAACCACGCCAGTTGACTTAATGACAGACCTTATGATACAACGCACTCGCGCTAACCATTTGGCCATCCACCCCCAAAGTTATTGGATACAACACAAGACATAAAGAATATAAACTAGATTATTTACCTCATATTGCACATTATCTGATGAATCATCTGTCGAATGAGCTTCAGTTAATTTACATAACTGAGTCATTTCTAACACACTATAAATATCCATAGAATAAAAACAAATTCAAAATGTTTTCCCAACTAAATATCAAAAAGTTTTTGAGGCAAAATATCAAAATGTTTTCCTGACAAAATATCAAAAAGTTTTCCAGGCAAAATATCAAAAAATTTTCACAGCAAAGTGTCAAAAAAAATCAAAAAGTTTTCCATTCAGAATGTCAAAAACAGGCAAAATATTTTGATCCTTAACCAAGAAATTGTCAATGTTAAAGTTTCAAATTCAAATCTTTTTCCAAGCTAAATATTTTAATCTTTGACCCCAAAAATTATTAATGTTATATATATATATTGCAACCTCATCATAACTATATATATTTTGGATACATATCTTGCTTTTTAAATTTGATATGTAGGCCCTACAGAATATTAGAAGCACATTGAAATCATATATTACTGTCTTATGCTAGTTTCCTACTGTCGTACGATGCGTTACGATAGAATTGTCCCTAATCGGTCCACGATCTGGTATGTGCAGATACATTTGGATACATTTCCATACGATCAAGACGATTGTTACGACTGGCCTCACTATATGATAAGACCTGATAGGATCACTATGATAACTCCAAGATTTAAACCACGATTTCAGTTGTAACACGAATGGTGATAGTGGGAGCCTAGCATTATAAATCTACACATTTAAAGGATTTACCAACATCTGTGGACAAATCCTCTAAATACGAGTACTTGTGGGGAAATTCTCTAAAGAAACAAAACTAGTACACATAACTACAGACTGTTGGACACACAATATTTATTTGAATGTACCCACCTTAAAGCTGTTTCTGAAAGATGAGCGATGTTTTCAGCATATGCTGCTCGAACCATTACAACTTCGTCATGGACTAGATTTGACTGGAAGAAAACATATAAATAGAAATCTGGCTAAATTCTTCAGATACGAAAGTTGTACAAAAAATATATAGTGTTATTTTTAACAATCAAAGAAATCAAAGGTATTGTACGATGTGGGTCATTAAGGGTATTACAGACCTTTAAAGGCATTAGTGGGCCTTAATTAATATTATGAATATACCGTAATCACCCAATGTAACAGGCTGCCACATAATGCAGGAAAAATTGATATTCCCCTTATATCAAAGGTATTGCCTTTCTTTAAAGGTATTGTACAATGTTGGGAATTAAAGGTATTACACACATTTAATATTTTGAATATACTGTAAATACCCATTGTAAAACACTGCCGTATTATTCAGGAAAAATTGATATTCCCCTTATATACAGTGAAACTTACCAGATTAGGAAAAATGTATTCTGGAAAAACATTACCATCACTGAAATATTGAATATATTAATATTTTTTGACTGGAATAATAGTTTGTGTGTTATTTTTTTGTTCTTTGCAATATATGGGATTAATGGTTATTCCTTTAGTTAGCCCCAGGGAGAGAGAGAGAGTGAGAGAGAGAGAGAGGGTTTAACATCCACTGACACAAACTAGGTCATTTCAGGACTAACATATGAATCAATTTTATATGAAGAATTTGCTTGTGTGCAGGGGTCTTTAGCAGTGGGAGGAAACCCGAGGACCCAGAGAAAACCAACGCGGTTGGACAGGTCATCCCTACTCCTTGTCACGTACAACGAGCGTGCTAACCATTCAGCCATCCAATCCCCGCCCCAGTTAGCCCTAGGAAGATAAGCTATTGCCTTGTTAATTGGCTTAGGAAGATAAACAAGTAAACAAGTAGTTACTTGTATGCAGTGATGGAAATTTTGCCCAGACAGCAGTACAACGGCCTACTCTTATATCAAATTCCAACTGTCAAGGGGTCTTTTACATGTACCCAATGTGTACACGGGACCTCAGGTATTGGTCCCTTGCCAGACACCCTGTCCTGCACCACTGACAAGGGAGAACCATACCGGAAAATCCTGATGAAGGAATCGAACACGGGACCTCCAGGTTAGCGAGTCAGCATCTTACTCACTGAGCCGCTGCGCCTCCTTAATGACAATAAAGACTAGAGTATCCCAGTAAAACAATAATTATCCTGTATATTACTTACCTTCTAGGAATATTTCTATAAAACAATAATCGTTCTGTATATCACTTACCTTCTAGGAATATTTCTAATATTGGCTAAACATCTGGTTACTGTCGATATTGTTTCTCCGCGAACTCGGGGAAACGAATCAGACACAAAATAAAGCTGGAAATAAAGTTTTGTGAAAATTTCAAATTGTTTTTTCTTATTGTGATGTAAATAGGAGTATCTATACTAATATTTGTGACTGTCGTTTGTTTGTCTGTCTGTTCAGTGTTGGCAGCTACACTAGGGTTGTCCCGAGGCTGAAATATGGTGTATAGGGGTAGCTCGGACCATAGAGTAACATAGGTCTGGTGGCAATGCAATACCGCTTCTGGAGAACTTTTGGTTTCGGGCACAACTGCTTTGTCCCCAAATCGAAGGAAACTTTGAGATTAACAGAAGTGTTATTTGTTTCCGACGGTCACATGTACAATCATAAGCAAACGGATCTTGCCTGGACAATTTCATCTCAATCTACTTTTCGGCGAATTCATGGAGTCAATGTTCTTTTACATGCACGCCAACATGAACTGGGGTGGGGTTCAGTTTTCATCCCATCCAAACTACTTGGCAACACTTCATTCGTCAACGCTACCGGCACTATGTCTCGACGAGTGGGAATCAGTCTCGGAAAAATCAATACATAAAATGAAATGGGGTTCAACATCCTACTGCTCCGAACTTGGCTAATGAAGACGGGTATACGCCATACAGTGTGCTATGAGGGAAATTTTACCCAGACTGCAGTACTACGGTCCACTCTTATTTCGAATTCCAACTATCAACGGTTATTTTACGTGCACACCCATGTGTAGCTACACTTGATCTCATTTTTATGTCCCATCCAAATGACTAGCTGCTGTCCTTGTCAGACCCTCCATCCTGTACCGCATAAATCTATAGACTAATACATAAACCAACATACCATATATGGAATAATTCTATCCAATATAATGTCAGAGGTAACATATCTGGATAATTCTAACAAAAGTTCTAGCGCTAACACTCTCGCACTACAGAACTGAAAATATATTTGAAAAAAACATTTAAAGTCTTTAATTGTCATTTGAGATATTGTTAATCCTTTGCAAATTACAATATCAGTGTTTAAAGAGAGAGAGAGAGAGAGAGAGAGAGAGAGAGATTCAAGGACTACCATAGGGTTCAATTTTATTTCGTTGCGCGTAGGGGTCTTTAGCAGTTGGAGGAAAACGGATAATCCAGAAAAAAAAAACACAAGGTTGGACAAGCAACCCTACTCCTTGTCACGTACAAGTGGGGAATCGAAACCAAGCCATTTGACTCAATGACAGACCTTATGATACAGCACGCACGTGTTAACCATGGTACTTGTCTGTATACAGATTGGGAGCTCTGTATACATAGGGTAGCTCGGGTACTCGCCTGTAGTATTATAGCCAACAACGACCCCTTCAGTGTTACTTACGTGTAAATTCCTACAACAAGATCCAACACAAGAAATGATTAAAACTAATCCCACATTATTCTCCAGTTTATTCTCGTCTATCTTCATATTCTTTAATAATGATGGTAAATCTCGCTTAATTCTGGAAACAAAAATATAAATGTTATTCATAAAATCATTTCCGAAAATCGGTCGTCTTTTGAAATAGAGAGAGAGAGAAATGGGGTTTAACTTCACTCGCCATAAACTAGATCATTTCGGGATTAACATATGGTTCAATTTTATTTCCATAATTTGCTTGCATGTAGGGGTCATTAGCAGTGGGAAGAAACCGGAGGAGACAGAGAAAACCCATGGGGTTGGACAGGCGACCCTACTCCATGTCATGTACAACTGGGGATTCGAAACCATGCCAGTTGACTCAATGATGACAGACCTTATGATACCACGCAAACATGCTAACCATTCGACCATCCAACACCCCCTTGGAAATAGAATAAATGACCAACGTTAGTTATTTTTAAATACTGGTAGACAGCTCCTTCAAGAGTAGAGAGACAGAAAGTAATGGGGTTTAATGTCCAGTCAATACAAACTAGGTCATATCGGTACTAAAATATGGTTAATGTTATTCCAATTAGTGGTAGATACCCAAGATTAAATGATGAAATGAAATGAAATGGGGTTTAACGTCCTACTGTTCTGCATCTAACCTGGGCTAATGAAGACGGGCATACGTCATACAGTGTGCAATGAGGGAAATTTTGCCCGGGCAGCGGTGCTACGGCCTACTCTTATATCGAATTCCAACTGCCAATGTATACACGTAATCTTGGTTTTTCATCTCATCCGAAGGACTAGACAGCTGTCCTTGTCAGGCCCTCCGTTCTGCACCACTGACAAGGGGAAACCACGTCGGAAAATCCAGATGAAGAATAAAACTTACAATGTAATTCTATCATCTGCAGGTATAATAGGTGAGGCTGCGAATTGTTGTAAATAAATCTTTAGGAATGTATAGAAATATTCCGGGAAGGCCTTGCCTCTCTGTTTAACTAAATATTCTTCCGCTGATAATCTGTGTTTAGGATCTTTCTGTATCATATGACGAACCAACTCCTACAAAAAATAAACATGTTTTATTTTTACCTGTTCATTTGATAATATTTTTCCATACACCGGACAGTAGTGCTACGGCCTACTCTTACGTTCAGTCTAATGTGTACGTAGGACCTTTTTATGTTTTTGTTCCTTTTCAAACTACTACACGCTGTTTCTTGCACCACTGACATGGGGAAACCACATCTGAAAATCCAAAGGAACTGTACAACATGTCAGATCTTCATGTAGTGTAGGCCATCGAAAGTTTTAAAAAATGAAATGAAATATAGATCTGTATTTTAATCAGATTGTATCACATGGCGAACTCTTACAAAAAAATAAAAATTATTTTACATTTTAAGTTGATAATTGAATTGTAAAATTTGAAACCGAAGTTTAAGGCATAAAACAGCAGTCCTTACAATCGATTTGTTTTGTTGTTTTTATGATGCATTATGCAAGAGCTAATTTGCCTAAAATTTTCAATAGATTCATTTTGAATTATCTATGTTGGAACTATTATAGACAAAACGATCAGTTTTTTTATCTAAATCTTACATAATGCATCTTTAATAAGAAAAGAAGTAGTTTTATAAAGGCTTTTATTTGGATAAAGTCCCCATGTGAAACTACCAATAATAACAAAGATGTGAAACCACCAATAATAAAAAACCATGTGAAACCACCAATAATATAAACCATGTGAAACTAGAAACTACCAATAATAAAAACCATGTGAAACTACCAATAATAACAACCATGTGAAACCACCAATAATAACAACCATGTGAAACTACCAACAATAACAACCATGTGAAACCAGCAATAATAACAACCATGTGAAACCACCAATAATAAAAAACAATGTGAAACCACCAATGATAAGATCCTTACCCTAACATGTTGGTCTGGTATTTTTTCGAGTATTTTCCAGGGACTATATTCACCACTACGATAGGCTAATAATTGAGACAGATCAAATGGTGTTGTACCATCTGTAAATAATTCGGTAATAACACACCTGGAAATAAACATACCTACATATATAACACACCTGGAAATAAAAATACATATATCCATATACGAAGAGGGAGCGAAATAGGATTTAACACAAAATAGGACATCTTGGGATTCAATCTAATTAAAACACAGATCCTATTCGTTTCGTTTTTTACAGTTCAAAATTTCGTTTTACCTGTCTTTACTACACTAGGATCTCGAAGAGTTGTTATATAACACACATTATGGATGATGTGAGGGATTAGCCAATGAAACGGTCTGTTACGACGAGCTTTAGGCGTGCTTTGCACGGAACTGTGGGTAATCCACTAGTAACATCAATGCTGATTGGTTAATCAAATGTCTGACGTCATAGGGTCAAAAGCCGCTCGTATGACCTCTGACACGACATATCGCTACAACCGGTCAGATCTCCATGTAGTGTAGGCCATCAAAAGTATAAAAAACGAAACGAAATATAGATCTGTACTTTAATCAGATTGATTGGGACTAGTATATGGTACAATTTTATTTCAATAATTCGCTAGCATGTAGGGGTCTTAGCAGTGGAGGGGTGGGGATCTGGAGGACTCAGAGAAAAGCCATTAGGATGGGCCTACGACTATACTACTTGTCACATAAAAGCTTGGGATCAAACATTTGGTATTATTTTAAAAAGGGTTACAAGACCCGAAAATATCATGATTAAATTTATGAATTACCACTCTGTTCTACATAAAGTCTGTTTTGTACATCTGCTGAGTGGGCATTATTACGTACATCAGCTCATTTCAAGGCAAACAGTTAACCAATGCCACATTTCATATAGATTTATATTGCTTGATATTGGACAATTTTATTTCAAATCAGGTGACATCATCACCTCTAAAATAGGTGTCAAATTACACTACAGTGGAATACTACGACATTCTGTGAAATCCGACATAATTTTCATGTTCCGATTTATTTCCTTATTACTTCAACCAAAAAAGTTTTGAGTAGTCCAGATTCTGAATATTCCGAATTAAGACACAGTTTGCGTTGAATTAACATTGGATAATCCGGCCTTTAATCAGTGGGTGTTAACCGTCAAGCAATCACCAATCAATTATCTGTGAGCATAAAACACATGTCGGTCTTTGTTGATTACCTTGATAATTTTTATAATCTCTTGTAAGAGAGCGCTTGGTATTTGATTTGAGTTTCTCACGTCAATTCATAATGTGTGATGGTCCTGCAAAGTGTGCCCGTATGGTTTTGACATTATAGCAGATTTTGAGAAAGTTCCATGACCTACACAGCAGAAATTAGTCATTAAGTATTCAACTGGCCGTACTATTGTATCAGACAATTTAAAGAGTAAAGATGAATTCAAATGGAAACGATTGTACTTGAACGCTAAGTTAGAAAACATGAACAGAGAGAGAGAGAGAAAAATGGGGTTTAACGTCTACTCGACACAAACTAGGTCATTTTGGGTCTAACATATGGTTCAATTTTATTTCCATAATTCACTTGCGCGTAGGGGTCTTTAGCTGTGGGAGGAAACCGGAGGACCCGGAGAAAACCCACGAGGTTGGACAGGCAACCCTACTCCTTGTCACGTACGACCGGGGAATCGAAACCCCGCCAGCTGACTCAATGACAGACCGTATGATACAGCGCGAGCGTGCTAACCATTCGGCCATCCAACCCCCCCAAAACATCAACAGAATGACGCACAAGTGGTTTAAGGGCATGGACAAAGGTACAATATAATACTTCTGGTATTGAGGCAATTAAGTATTCCGACATGCTGTGTAACCCAGCATATTGTCCAATGTAATTAATCCAATGGGAGGTAATGTAAAACCTCCCTTGTAAAGATGAGCATGAAGGCCTTACCCTGCTGAGAATATATCCATAGCTGGAGTCAGATCACCAATCTTTATTTCACTAGATGTTAAATCTATATTATTAGCATTTCCTGCTGCTTCCTGATTCCGCCAGCCACCTTCTATAAAACGTTCTGGTGCTATGTAACACGTACGACGTCTTGATGTGTCAAAAAAATAAGAAAAATCAGAAGGGTTGTCCTGAAATGGAATAAAAAATATAAAAATGAAAAGAAATGAAATGAAAAGGGTTTTAACGTCCTACTGTTCTGCTCTAACTGGGCTATTGAAGGTGTGCATATACTATACATTGTGCCATGAGGGAAATTTTCCTCGGGTAGCGGCACTATGGTCTACTCTTATATCAAATTCCAACTGCCAAGGGATCGTTTTTCATACCATCCGGGGGATCACGTGGCTAAGACGCTAGCTCGCTAGCCTGGAGGTCGGGTGTTCGATTCCTGCGTTGGCCGAGAAAGTTCATCCAGATTTCCGGCGTGGTTCTCCCTTGTCAGTGATGCAGGATGGAGGGGCTGACAAGGAAAGCTGTCTAGTTGTTTGGATGGGACGAAAAACCGAGGTCCCGTGTACACATTGGCGTGCACGTAAAAGATCCCTTGGCAGTTGGAATTCGATATAAGAGTAGGCTGTAGTGCCGCTGTCCGGGCAAAATTTCCCTCATAGCACACTGTATGGCGTATGCCCGTCTTCATTAGCCCAGGTTAGGAGCAGAACAGTAGGACGTTAAACTCCATTTCATTTCATTTCATTTCATACCATCCGAATGACTAGACAGCTGTCCTTGTCAGGCCCTCCGTCCTACTGACAAGGGGAAACCACGTCGGAAAATCCTGATGAACTTTCTCGGGCAACACTGGGTTTGAACCAGCGACCTCCAGGTTAGCGAGCCAGCATCTTACCCACTTAGCCATCGTGGCTCCCCTCCTCATTAGCCTTATTCGCTGAATCGCTTTCCCCAATATACAATCAACAATAGCCCATAAAATATAAGTTGACTTACTTCAGGTAGATATGTTGGTTTAAAACTGGCAAAATCTGTTAATAACAACCATGTCCATCCAGTTATCATCACATTTTCGGATTTAATATCACCGTGAAATACCTAATAATATTATATAATAAAGATTTGATATCACTGTGAAATACCTAATACTATACAATCCAGATTTGATATCACTGTGAAATATCTAATAATATTATACAATTATACAATAGAGATTTGATATCTCTGTTAAATACCTAATAATATTATACAATAGAGATTTGATATCACAATCAAATACCTAATAATATTCCAAAAATATAAATTTAACTATTAATAATAAAATCAATAACAAATGTTTGCTGACCCTAATGTTTTATTCCACCGAAGTCTGTATAAGACTATTACCATCTTCATATTTGTTATTTAACGCTAAAGATAAAATGTATGTGACTAACCCAATCTGATTAAAACACAGATACTATTTCGTTATAGTTCAAAATTTTGTTTTACTTGTCTTTACTACACTAGGATCTGGAAGAGTTGTTATATAACTCGCATTCTGGGTGGTGTGAGGGATTAGCCAATGAAACCATCGGTTATGGCGACTTCTTGGCGTGCGGAACTGTGGGTAAACCACTAGAAACGTCAACGCTAATTGATTTATAGTTCAAAATTTTGTTTTACTTGTCTTTACTTAAGATTTCGAGAAACAGGGCCCTGTATTTTAATAAGATTATGACTAACCTTGACTCTATGAGATTGATTTAAAGCACAGAGTAATTGAAAAGCTATCCATTTCTTCTCTATCATATTTAGGAATGGTCTGGTGCTGATTCTATCATACAAACTATCCTTTACATACTGACGAAAAATCAACCCAGCTTTATCAGATTGCTATAAATAACATCAAATTTAACACATCATTTCAAATATTCTCTCAAGCCTCTCAAGCATATGCTTCAATTTTATTTCAATAATTCGCTTCCATGTAGGGGTCTTTTAGCAGTGAGAGGAAACCGGAGAACCTGGAGAAATCCCATGAGGTTGGAAAGGCGACCCTACTCCTTGTCACATACAAGCAAGGAATCGAAACCACGCCAGTTCAATGACAGACCTTATGATACAGCATGCATGTGCTGCTAACCATTTGGCTATCCAACCGAGAGAGAGAGAGAGAGAGAGAGAGAGAGAGAGAGGGAGAGAGATTCAAGGACTACCATTGGGTTCAATTTTATTTCGTTAATTCGCTTGCGCTTGTGCTTGAGTCCACTCACACAATGACAGACCTTATAATGTAACACGAGTGCGTTAACCATTCGGCCACCCAATCCCCCGTTCTGCTTTGACTGAGCTAATAAAGACAGATGCTACAAATAACATCAAGCTTTAATATATAATCTAAAATGTTAAAATATTCCCTCTAGCATAATCAGGTCATTTCTTCAAACCTACAAACTTATTTCCATCTGAATAAATCAGATTGCTACCAAATTTAGCACATGATTTAAATTATTTAAAATTATTTTCTCTAGGATATAACAGCTGTGGTGGCTCAGTGAATAAGATGCTGGCTCGATAGCCTGGATGTCTTGGACTCGCTCCCAGAGTTGGCTGAGAAAGTTTATCTGGATTTTCCAGCATGGATTCCCCCTTGTCAGTGGTGCAGGACAGTGGAGTCTGACAATGGTAGCTCTCTAGTTCTTTGGATGGGACAAAAAACTGTGGTCCTGTCTTCACAATGGTGTGCACTTAAAAGAACCCTTGACAGATGGAATTCGATATAAGAGTAGGCCATAGTGCCACTCCCTTATAACACACTGTACAGTGTATGCAAGTCTTGATTAACCCAGTTGGTGCAGAAAAGTGGTCCCATAAAAGTTAGGGATCCAAATCACGCCACTTGACCCAATAAAAGATCTTATAATCTAAAGTATAGACATTAGATCATTCAATCACCCATCCATTCCTTGTTGAGATAAAAATTTACTTACAATAGCTTTTTGAAAAGGTAAACAATTTGAAGTAGATTTCAACCTTTGTACAATTTCTGAAAAACAAAAATCATATTTCTGAATAAAATGTTGGTCGAGACAGTTCATCAGGTTTTTCCTGCGTGGTGGTGCAGGAAGGAGGGACTGACAAGAACACAGCTGTCTAGTTGTCTGGATGGGATGAAAAACTGAGGTCCTGCGTACACATTGCCATGCACCTAAAATATCCCTTCGCAGTTGGAATTTGATATAAGACTAGGCCGTAGTGCCAATCAATATCCGAACAAAATTTCCCTCATAGCACACTGTATGACGTATGCCCGTCACCATTAGCTCAGTTGGAGCAGAACAGTAGGACGTTAAACCCCATTTCATTTCATTTCGATCTATATAGATGTCTCACATATAGTTACGCACGTGTCTACGGAACTTCCCAGTTAGCAAGCCATCAAGTTATTACCCGAGCCACAGTAGCTCCTCTATGGTCGAAAGATCGTATATCTATTTTAATCAGAATAAGCGTAAAAAATCTGTAAATAGGCGAACAGCCTTCCCAGATTTCTCTCAGCTACTAGTTTCGTTCTTATTCGAACTCTTTAGGCTTAAATGAGGCAGTGCGTTGGCCCTCTATATATAGTGTCGGTGGGCACTGGAGCAGATTAAGCGTATCTTACCTTCTAATTTATGTTTATGAATTTGTAACGGTAACGAGGGATCGTGTATAACAAACACTTTAACAACTAACTGGCCTTCTTTATACTTCGCACGAGCAACTTTAAAAAATCGTGTACTTCCCAAACTAAAAAAAAATATACATGTTTTAATACAATCAAAACACAAACCCCTGTATATACACTATAACCTGGGTATCATTTAATCTTGTGTATCTAGCACTAATTTCTTTCACATTCGTTTAATATCAAATTTACAAGTATTTAATTCCCTGATCATTGTTCAAAAATTAATCATTATATTACACATCAATAATCAGTTGGGTTGTTTATTTTTAAACAGTGATCGAGAAATTAAACACTTGTAAATTGGACACTCATTATCAAAATTGAATGGTCAGCTTTAAACTGGACACAAGTACAAATTAGATGATTTTTGGTTATTTTAAACGATTTTTATGAATTTTTAAATAAAGATTTGATATTAAACGAATGTGAAAGAAATTAATGCTATATTAAATACACAAGATTAAATGATACCCGGGTTACAGTGATAACACATGACACAATTATATGGAATATAGGTTACTTAAATGTTTATATCTGGCGACGTTTCTACAAGGGTTCTCTTGTCTTTATCAATGAATGACAACCATAGTACAGTGATTAAATATCTTGTATCGCATGCCAGGAACTCCCCGCAACAGACCGTTTCATTGGCTAACCCCTCGTATCAACCAGAAAGTGGGTATAAAACAACTCTTCAAGATTCTAGTGTAGTAACGACAAGCAAAACGAAATTTTGAACTCTGTGTTTTAATTAGATTGTGTGACACATGGCTTATTTTCTGGCTTGAATGTATGGTACAGGTAAATTTATATGAACTTACCTAGTTTGATATTCATAATCACCTATATCAGCTAGATATTGTTCGACAGGTAAAATCTGGGACGGAGCTATACCTGTCAGTTGATTACCCATTTGTTATCTTTTTACTTTATTTCTGAAATATAAACAATCTTTATTAGAGGCATTTAGTAACTGGATAGAGCAATAATCTATAACACATACACATACTTATAGACAAGAGCTCTACGGATCTACTTGTCAAACCACAACACTCTCGAACTCTGCGATCAAATGACAAAAACCTCCTTGTCGTACATGTACCAAAAATGAATCTCCAAATGTGTAGACGTTCTTTTAGATATACTTCATCTGTATTATGGAACTCGATCGATCCTAATCATCCCCTTAAAAACTCAAAATCAACTGACATTTTCAAACGTAGACTAAAAACATATCTGTTCCAGTTGCACTTATGAACTGAAGATCCATCATAAACTTTGCAAGTGCACAAAGGACCTTGTTACTATGGTGTTTGTGTGTGATATAAATTTCTGAATTTTGTTTGTTTTGTTAATCAAGCTAACTCAATTCTACTACTACTGGTATATAATACATTTGAGGTTTACAAAACTTTGCAGATATCTTTAACGATTTCTAAATACGATCGATAATTTTATTCCAGGTTGTAGGAATTTAACACCCCATTTTCTTGCAATCAAACTGGGTATATGCCATGCAGTATGCTATGAGGGAAATTTTGCTCGGCAGTGGTGTGTCCACTTCTCTTTTTTGAATTCCAACTGCCAACTTTTTATACACAAACAGCTTATTCTCTGTCCATCTTTGCAAAATGTGGGCGTATCGTGCCTGGCAACCGCTTGTTTGGTAATTGTACTCCAACCTATACAAACTGTAATTTTTCCATTCGATCCGGAAGGACAGCCGCTGTTCCTGGCTAAACCCTCCATCTTACTCCACTGACAAGAGGAAACCACTCTGAAAAATCATGATGTATTTTCTCTGTCTATACCATGATCGAACTGGGACCACCTGTTTAGTGAGCCACTGCCATATTCCCAGACGCACCGTGGCTCCAAGCACAGAAGTCCATTTCAATTTCGCTCCCTTAAATGTATTATCTTTAAGGCATCAATAACCGAAACAGATATAAATATTATTAAACTTATATACTGATATGCAATGAACACATTTAGTCCTTCGGATTGGACAAAAAACTGTAGTCCTGTGTTCACAATGGTGAGCATGTAAAAGAACACTTGACAGTTAGAATTGATATAAGAGTACGCCCGCCAGTTGGTGCAGAAAATTATTTTCTAACTGTAAAAAATGGGTTTTACTCTTCAGCAGTTCTAACAAGTTTTGATCAAAAAAGGTGCCCAACGGACATGAGACAATCAAGTTAACATAAATTGGATGATCATGGTTGACTTTTATAGGGATGTTTAATTTTATTGGGACCAAGCACCTGCTGAATACTCAGAATACGAAATGAGGCCAGATACTAAATCATTCTGATTAAATTACAGATCTATATTTCGTTCCGTTTTTCAACACTTTCGATGGCCTACACTACATGAAGATCTGACATGTTGTAGTGGAAGGTCACGTCAGGGGTCATACAAGTGGCTTTTGATCTTATGACGCCAGACATTGATTAATCAATCAGCATTGAAGTTTCTAGTGGTTTACCCACAGTTCTGTGCACCTCATGCTAAAAACTTGCCATAGCAGACCGTTTCATTGGTTAATCCCTCACCACATCATCCAGAACGCCGGTTACATAAGAACTCCTCCAGATCATAGTGGTAGTAAAGACATGTAAAACGAAATTTTGAACTATAAAAAACGAAACAAAATATGATCTATGTTTTAACCAGATTGGATACCAATCCAATATACATGGAGAGTATCTGAAATCACATCAAAATATATCAGGCATTACAATTCACTGATTTTTATTACATCAAAATTCTACCCTTTTTTTTAGCATGACTGGCAGATTAAGCAGTGTCACACATTTCAGTTGCAGCAGTTCTTCATCCACAGTCTCGCACTGTGTATATTACTAACCATGCCATGGATTGTTTGGTCTTAATGGCTAGTATTTAACTGCGGGTGTTTTTTGTTTGTTGTTTTTTTTTTCTTTTTTTTGCTTGAATATTTTAAAAAAATTTAATCTTTGCTTTTTTACTGAACACTTTTTGGTCTTAAAACTAACCTACCTGTTTTTTGTCTTTCAAACCATATTCTTGTTTTACGTCACATGTATAATAAAAAGGTTTACTTCCACGGATAAGCTATGAGAATATTAGGGGGGTTAAAATATTCTGAATATTGCACAAAAGGGGGAGGACTTCTATTAATTTTGCGAAACCGAAAGACAAGAAAAATGTCAACTTCCGGAATGATCAAAGTTTGGTTGAATATCTATTTTATACGTGGATCAAATGATTCTTGTTAGAGACACAGATATTGGATATTATACATAAGATAAAAGCAAAGGCCGATATTCTTAATTATGTCTTGAATTCCGTTTAATTTTAACATCACCACATTCTGAAAAAGCCCGTAATTCAATAATTTGATCCAAATCTATATTTTATATGAATATTAATCTCTAACTTAAAGTTGATATACACTTGCAGTGGAAATAATGAGAACTTATTATTTGTGACAATAAAAATAATTCTTTCTTTAATCATAGATTTTACTACCATATATGACAAATCCATTTTAGTTCGATGTGAAGTCTGAGTTTGATGTGCGCGAAACATCATTTTGGATTAGCGATTACATAGCAAGAAAAATGGCAGCTGTGGGAGAAGTTTTACGCCAATCCTTACCGGAGATTGATAATGCTATCGCTGATTATCTCAATGGTACTTATTTTGTAAATGAAAATATCTAAATTTAATCCAACCTGATATTCCAATAATTTTTATGATTACACATATACTGTGTTTGATGGCATTTAAAACGAAAGTATAGAGATGGAAATGTCACGTGTCATTTTTGCAGATGACAGATTCATTGAAATTTCGTTCTTATTATGCAATTGTTTTTACTCGGATGGTTTCAGAAATTAAGGTTGTGATTATAGGCTTAGTCACATAATTTTATTGCCAAAGAGGTTAAAATGAGTTCAAATAAATACTAGTAAATCCATCACAATGTCAATGAAAGATACTGTAACATTAATTTCCAAGAGTCATTGTTGCAATTCCAAGAGCATGCATTCAATGTTATTCCCATGCAGAGCATCTTTTGAGGCTTTCTGTTACAGGTCAAAATATAGTGACAAGTGAGGTTTGAGTCCAGGCAATACACTGTTGTAATCCGATCCAAACTGTGCATTCACGTCAACTGCTGACAGCCAGAAAGAATGTTATCGGGGTAGACTTCACGGTATACAGACAACTCATCCCAATATAAGAGAGAGAGAGAGAGAGAAATGGGGTTTAAGGTCCACTCGACACAAACTAGGTCATTTCGGGACTAACATGGTTTAATTTTATTTCAATAATTTGCTTGCGCGTAGGGTCTTCAGCAGTGGGAGGAGATCGGAGGACCCAGAGAAAATCCACGAGATTGGACAGGCAACCCTTCTCCTTGTCACGTACAACCGGGGTATTCGAAACCACGCCAGTTGACTCAATGACAAACTTTATGATACAGCACGCACGTGCTAACCATTCGGCCATCCAACCCCCCTTTCAATGTAAGACAACTCATCCCAATATAAGACAACTCATCACAAGTTAGAAGACAGCCCATCCCAAGATAAAAGACTACTCATCCCAACTTTAAAACATGGGTCAAGATATAAGATGAGTTATCTTTTATCTTGGGATGAGTTGTCTTTACCTTAGCATGAGTTGTCCTTAACTTAGGATGAGTTGTCTTATATTGGGATGAGTTGTCTTGTGATGAGTTGTCTTTGGGATGAGTTGTCAGGTATTTGACTTCACAGACAATAGTAAAATAGACAGAAATGATTGACTTCGAATAACAAATGTGCTAATGATTGCTAACCAATTTAACTATGGTAACTATTTTATGTTACACATAAGGTATAGAATGTCCGTGGCAGATATTTTTGATAATCATGTGTTTATAAGTAATTGATACCAACTTTAAAGTGTAGATGTTAGCAAAATTTCTTGTTTCTCTAACTTCATTTCTATTGATTTTTGACGGAGGGGCTATACAAGGACAGCTGTCTAGTCGTTCGGATGGGACGAAAAACCGAGGTCCCGCGTACACATTGGCGTGCACGTAAAAGATCCCTTGGCAGTTGGAATTCGATATAAGAGTAGGCCGTAGTGCCGCTGTCCGGGCAAAATTTCCCTCATAGCACACTGTATGGCGTATGCCCGTCTTCATTAGCCCAGGTTAGGAGCAGAACAGTAGGACGTTAAACTCCATTTCATTTCATTTCATTTCATTTCATTTCATTTATATTGATTTTTATTTCAGGAATCCTTGAAGATACTTCCAATGAATTTGAAGAAGTGGATGACTTGTACGAGGCTTTTGGAGAAATGCTGCATCAAGTAGATGATTCAAAATCAGAAGATGAAATTCGTGAGATTTGTGAAAAGATATACAACATCATGGTTCCTGGGGGAAAGTGAGTTTTCTTTGTTTAGTTTTGTACAATTTTGAATAAGAAATGTTTTTCTGTGTTATTAATTAAAAACAAAATTCACTAATTTTTATATCTAAACTCCAAAGAGCAGGCTCACTAACTAGGAGGTCCTGTGTTAAATCCCAGTATTCACTGAGGAAGTAACCCGGATTCCCTTTGTTTGTGGTGTTGGCCAAAAGGGTCTGTTAAGTAAAAATATCTTCGGATTGGACAGAAAACCATAAATACCAGTGGTAGAACGTTAAAGATCTCCTGACATTTTGAAATTGAGATAAAAGTAGGCTGTAGTGTTGCTGGCCAGACAAAATGACCGTCACAGCACACTGTATGACCAGGGCTGCCAACAACCAGTATCGCAGCGCAATTTGCGATACATATTTTGTCCGTTGCTAATCAAAAATTAAACTCTAAAGTTTTTGATTCGCAGTAACTGCGAATCATTAATATGCCTGTCATTTTGGATATTGACACAAGGATAATCCGCATTTGAAGACTAGAAGGCTTTTTCAACACTTTCAACGTGTATAAAATGTTGAATAAAATTTTATAAACAAAACTGAATTCTCCGAGTGACATTTTCTACTCGAACTACCCAGACACAATTCATTATACGGTACTATATAATACAGGGACATAACTCTATGAATAAGGACTATTAAACCGGAAATAGGGATTCAGGTAGTACCACTCACGTTGCGAGACATCAAGTAATTATATCATATTCATTTTGAAAGAAATAAATCCAGTGTATCCCCCACGTATTGTAAATAAAATATAAAAAAATAAATATATGTTAACGTATTGTAAAATGATAAATCAAAGTAAAAATTCCCGTAAAATATCGCGTGTGTCTAGTTAATCGAAGTGCGCCCGATTTAACAAAAGTAGCAATACACGATAAAAAGCAGACGAAATTGTTTTCTAACGAAGATTTCTAACGTAACAAAAAATAACAATTAAAATGATTGGGGCTTCGGAAGTCACTGTTAAGAATTGGCTTTAGACATAAGACCTAACTAAATGTCTACATCACATTCACAAACTGTCACAAGTACTTGTGGCAGTGCTAAAAAAATCTAAGAATAGTAAGAATGGAATCTAATCATATTTGTTATGAACTAAAGTAATATCTTGTTATTTAGGTGTTTTATGTTCAAACTGAAAAACTGCTAATCAATTTTTAAATTTGCTAATCAAATTTGGCAAAATTGGACTTTTTGATTAGCAGTGCTGCTAATCAACTGTGAAAAATTACCGACAGCCCTGTGTATGACTATGTTCTTAGCAAGGGGGTTGGATGACTGAATGGTTAGCATGTGCGAGTTATATCATAAGGTCTGACATTGAGTCAACTGCTGTGGTTTAGATTTCCCGGTTGTACGTGACAAGGAGTAGGATCGCCTGTCCAACCTCGTGGGTTTTCTCCATGTCCTCTGGTTTCCCCCCACTGTTAAAGACCCCTACAAGCAAACGAATTATTGAAATAAAATTGAACCATATGTTAGTCTCGAAATGACCTAGTTTGTGTCGAGTGGACGTTAAACCCCATTCCCCTCTCTCTCATCATTAGCCCAGTAGGTACAGAAAAGTAGGACGTTCTTTTTTCATTTCATTTCATTCCGGTGGGATAAAGATATTACCAAAAACATTTTTATCCACTTAACTAAATACATAATGTATTTTCTTCTTGTTTTTTTTAAGTGACTCAACTAGTAGAGGTAAGATGAATGGACAGCATAAGATATTGGGAGCACCTGTTGTTATTGGTGATGTAAAAATAGATGAAATCACGGAGGAAGCATCCAGTATCTGGCTAAATAAAAGAGATTCTGGTCTGACGGTATATATGCCTTGTTTTAATTATTTTTTTAAATATATTTTTGTTGTTTGCATGTAGTCTTCAAAATGGGCTTTTCCACTGACGGTCACCAAACATTTTCGCTATTGATTCGAAAAATAACCTTTTATCTGCATTTTTCAAACTCTTTCAAAAATACATTAAACTTTGGCTAATTCCGAGTATTGTGCCTATAGTCTGTTACAGACATAGGGCGCTCTAGTATTTTAACGCATGGGTATTAAATCACCAGGTCAGTCATTGAGTCAAGTGGCATGGTTTCGAATACCCGCTTGAACGTGACAAGTAGTAGGGTCCCCTGACCAACCTCGTGGGTTTTCTCCATTTCTTCCGGTTTCCTCTCACTGCTAAAAGACTCCTACGCACTAGCTAGCCAACAATTATTGGAACTAAGTTGAACCATATGTTAATCTCAAAATGATCTAGTTTGTGTCGAATGGAGTTAAAAATATCTCTCTCTCTTTCTCTCTCTCTCTCTCTTCTCTCTCTCTCTCTTCTCTCTCTCTCTCTTTGTCTTCCATTGTTTTTTGAGAAAAGGCATATAAGTTTAACATGTAGAAAGACTAGGTTAAAGTTTGCAGATAGCACTTCTTTTAGAATAATATAATCCTAAAGAATGTTCATATAACATTGATTTCTGAATAAAAAAAGATATCCACACTGACAAAGTGTGTAACCACACATCAGCTATCTCTTGACAAACAAATATCCAAGCTTTGTCTAGAGAAAGATATTCATATATCTGAAAGGAAACTTGGATGTTGACCAGATTTAATAAAAAATTAACCCCTTTCAACTTGGGTATCATTTAATCTTGTGTATTTAGCACTAATTTCTTTCACATTCATTTAATATCAAATCTTTGTTTAAACATTCATAAAAATCATTCAAAATCATCAAAAATCATCTAATTTGTACTTGTGTCTAGTTTAAAGCTGACCATTCAATTTTGATAATGAGTGTCTAATTTACAAGCATTTAATTTCTCAACCACTCTTAAAAAATAATCATTATACTTCAATAATCAATTTGGTTGTTTAATTTATAACATTATCACAATTGAATGAATGTGAAAGAAATTAGTGCTAAATACACAAGATTAAATGATACATGGGTTACAGTGTTATCCCTTCAAGAGTTTTGAATGAGTAAAAATTTATTTACTTTCATTTTATTCATACAGACAGTTGATAAGAAAAAGTTAGAGAAGGCAGAAGCTAAACTACAGATGAAGAAAGAAAAACGAGACTTGATGCCCACAACTTTGAAAAAAGTGGATTCTGGGTGAGTAAATAATTCATATTTTTTTGTCAAATATCAAAAACAAGATTTTAAAATATGTGTTTTGAAATCTGGTAGTTAAACATCATTATTAATCATTAATATTGCACATCATTCATGAAATTTTTCAGATGTTGCTATGCAACACATACACACATATTTATAAGATAAAAGACAATGATTTAAAAAGTATTTATTCAGAATTCATATGTACAATCATGAAGGAGATAATATGAATAAATTGGATACAGTAACAAGCAACTTGATGAAATGAAATGAAATGGGGTTTAACATCCTACTGTTCTGCTCCGTTCTGGGCTAATGGAGACGGGCATACGCCATACAGTGTACTATGAGATCAATATACAGATCTATATTTCGTTTCATTTTTTATACTTTCAATGGCCTAATCTACATGAAGATCTGACCGGTTGTAGCGATAGGTCGCGTCAGAGGTCATACGAACGGTTTTTGACCTTATGACGTCAGACATTGATTAATCAATCAGCATTGATGTTTCTAGTGGGTTACGCACAGTTCCATGCATTGCACGCCAAGAAGTCGCGGTAACAAATGGTTTCGTTGGCTAATCCTTCATGCCATCCAGAACGCAGGTTATATAACAACTCTTCCAGATCCTAGTGTAATAAAGACAAATAAAACGAAATTTTGAACTATTAAAAATGAAATGAAATAAGATTTGTAACATATACAGTAGATTTTTTCTTATTCATACCCATGCTACAATCATTAGTTTTCATGGGGAGGGGCTTAGGTGTGCTACAACTTCGAAATTTCACTAGTTGTTGCACGGTGGCCATTTTTTGGGAGTGTCTTGGCAAAGCATCAAGGTCCCGCCCAGTTTTACTTGGCTTGAAGTCAAACCTTGTTAACTCAAGGTGACAACTTTTCAAAATAAATGAACTCCAAAACAGTGTTTTTTTCAACACCTCATAAACAGTATTTTATTACATAAAAGTAAATTTACAATTATTGAAATGTACTGGTCCGCAAGTGTTGATAAATTCGTTAAAACGTGTGTCCTTCAGTGGGGGTGAGGAAGCCGAAATTTTCGCTTTTTTAGAAACAGGTTCGCTATTTTCTTTAGCACTTATTGGCGCCTCTAAGACACTTGAAATCTGTTTCTGCATTTCGTCGGATTTAATTTTGTAAACCCTACACGCCTCGACAGATCTATGACCTGTGCGTTCCATGATGGATTGTTCATCTTGTCCATTGCGGTACATTTCAGTGGCACAGGTCTTCTTACCGGAGTGGTTAGTGTAATATCCGACTAAACCAGCTTGTTGACACATTTCTTTCATGAAATTACCTAATTTATTTATCCCAACAGGCTGCTTTCCGTATCTTATGCCATTCTGTAATGGCTTTCTATAAAAAATTCCAGATTCTATCGCGTCTAAATAGGTTTTAAATACTGTATACAAACATCTTTGACCTAAAATACACAAATATAAGAAATAAATGAAATGAAATGAAATGGAGTTTAACGTCCCATTTTTATGCACTGTAAGGCTAATTAGAGACGGGCATATGCCAAGTGTGTACAATGAGGGTGAATTTTGCCAAGGCAGCGGCACATGGCCTACTCTTACAACCGATTTTTAACTGCCGAGGTGTCTTTAACGTGCTCGATCGAATGAACACGGGACTCCGTTTATCGTCGTCTCAGATGAACTAGAACGCTTTTCCATGTCAGCCCTCACCTGACAAGGAGGAACCCAGTCGGAAAAATCCACAAGGTTGACCTCGGCCTCGCCGGGATGCGAACCCGGGACCCCCCAGCATGAGCGACAAGCGTCCTAACCACTCGGCCACACCGGGCCCCCATATAAGAAAGGATACCAATTGTCAGACAGCATACAAATTTCATAATGTGACTAAAAAGGACATAAAAGTCAGAATGAGTAATTTTGTCAAAAATCTCGCATATTATCCCTTTAACATTTCTACAGGCTACACTTTGATAAGGATACATAACCTTGTGGTGTATGATTACTTTGATTATTTTATTATACAGATTTTAGAACTCACCTCCGTAATTAGTGCAATAGTGCTTTATATCTTTGTTCTTGAACTTCAAATGGCCTAGACCACCAGTAAATGTTTTGTTGTTTCTTCCTATGTATCGTATGTAGTAACCATTTTTATCATTACCCAATTCAAACTGGTCAGCTTCTAAATGGCGGTGCTCATCTCTTCCTCGTAGTCCAAAAAGTTTACATGCGTAAAAAAAATACTGTGTACTGTAAACTTGTTGAGTTGGTAAAACCAAAGACACCAGAATTCCACAACTTATCCTCATCTTCGTTTGATACGGGGTCAGCGGTTTTCGGTTTACAACCGACTCCTTTGCTTACTAATTCCTTCATCTTGGCATCTAACACCTTTCTGGTTAACACAAAACGTTTATCAGCTTCCTCTAGAATGTTAATGTAAATATTATGGTCCTTCAAGTGTCTCATAAGCCCACAAATGATATAATAAACTGATTTAGGGGAATACTCATCTCCGTTCATTTTACGCAATTCTACAAGAAATCGCTGTAACCAATAATCTAATTCTTCTGCTGTCATATCTTGCAATTCAGGTATATCATTATCGCCCTTCGATCGACATTTCCGCCATTCATTGAATATATTTAGTGACCATTTAGTATTCTTTCTGGTATTAGCGTTTGTTTATGAATGTATTAAAGTGTCTATTTCAACCTGAGATACTGGCGTTTGAAACCTTTCAACCACAACCGATTTCACTTCCTCTTTAACGTGTTCCTCGGCTGTAGAAATTAGGTTAAATTCACCATAATCAGATTCTTTCTCCATCTCTGTTTTAACAAATTCCTCTGCAGTAGAAATAAGGTTCAATTCGCCGTAATCCACATCTTTCTCAATATTATTTTTCTCTGCTAATTCCTTTTCTATATTGTCTAAAATTTGTGAAAGAATAATATCATCATCGTCGTTCTCAATATTATTTATCACTGCTAATTCCTTTTCTATATCGTCTAAATTTTGTGAAAGAATAATATCTTCATCGTCGTTATCACTAAATAAACAATGCGACATTGCGTCTGTACGTCGCGAATTGAAATATATCAACTGATGTATACAGGTGTTGATGACCTATTTTAATATGTTCGCCGCTCGTTATGCACGTGTAGTTTTTAAGAACAACTCACTTGTCTATACGTCACCTGTCAATCAATATGTTACAAGTATTTTATAGCACGTTTATTCGTTAAATTATTGAAGACACTCGGGGGCTACGCCCCCTCGTGACTCCAATAATTTAACTCATAAAACTTGTGCTATAAATTATACTTGTATTTATAGAATGTAACTAAAAGTATGTTATTATTATATTTATAGTATAGAACTAGCATCAGCTTCACAACAGATCAACAGAAGAGATGCCAAAATGGATGCCTCTGGAACCAACAGAAGTTTAGATATAAAAATTGAGAATTTTGATATTGCTTTTGGAGAAAGGTAAACCGTTTTTCTTCTCCTTTATTTTGTTCTTTTAACATTTAAAGGAGAGAAAATGTGTTATTTATTGGAGAAAGGTGCACCATCACTTTTTTGAGAAACTTGAACTTATTTTTTGGACAAAAGAACTCTTGTTATGTTTTTAGAGAAAGGTGCAATGTTATTTTAGGGGGGAGAAAGGTTTACTATTTATTATTTTTTGGAAAAAGGGGTACTGTTATTTTTGGGAGAACGATGTACGGTTATTTTTGAAGGAGAAAGGTGCACTGTTATTTTTGGGGGAGTAGGTGCACTATTTATTTTTTTGGTAGAAAAGGACAATAGTATTTTTGGGGGGGGAAAAAGGTACACTATTATTTTTTAGTGAAAGGGTCTATGTTCTTTTTAGGGAACAGTGAACAGTTATTTTTGAGGGAGAAAGGTGTACAGTTATTTTTGAGGGAGAAAGGTGCACTATTATTTTTTGGAGAAAGGAACACTAATAATTCTTTGAGAAAAATGCACAGGTTTTTTTGGGTGAAAGGTGCACTGTTGTTTTTGAGATAGGTGCACTGTTTTTTTTGTCATTATTTTTTGGGGAGCATAGTAAACTAATATGTTTTTGAGAAAAGTGCACTGGGTTTTTTTGGAGACAGGTTTACTGTTATTTTATTAGTTTATGGTGCACTGTTGGTCTTTTTTTTGGGTGGGTGGGGGGGGGGGGGGTCAGCTACTTTTAGTATAGAATAATTTGTTGTTGAGTTGATGTAAATATAAGATATTTCCTGTTTTTTTATTTTCTCAGATTATTATTAGCCGGTGCCGATCTACATCTAGTGTATGGGAGACGATATGGTTTTATTGGTAGAAATGGTTTAGGAAAGACAACTCTTCTGAAAATGATATCCAGGTAATTACTCTGGTTTATTGATGTTTTAATCCTTTAGCACTTTAGATATTGATTACCCCAGATAATGAGAGAGAGGGAGAGAGGTGGCATGGTTTCGATTCCCCGCCTGTACGTGACAAGGAGTAGGGTCCGCTGTCCAACCTTGTGGGTTTTCTCTGGGTCCTCCGATTTCCTCCACTGCTCAAGACCCCTACGTACAAGCAAATCATTGAAATAAAAATCAAACGTATGTTAGTCCTGAAATGACCTAGTTTGTGTCGAGTGGATGTTAAACACCATCTCTCCCTCTCTCTCTTGGCAAGACTTCAAAGATACATAACTTTAAATAATACATTCAGTTTGCATTATCTCTTTTGAAACTATTATAGCAAGAATCTTATTTTTCAGTGGTCAGTTAAAGATACCATCGCATATATCAGTATTACACGTAGAACAGGAAGTGGTTGGTGACGACACGCCGGCTATACAGAGCGTCCTCGAATGTGATTTGAAACGAGAAGGTCTACTAAAACAAGAACGAGAATTAAACGCCAAGTTAAACGCTGCTGGGTAAAAATTTCCTCTATTCATCATTTCTTTTTGCCAGGGCCCACGTTGGCTAAGTGGGTAAGACGCTGACTCTCCAGCCTGGAGGTCGCGTTGTCGGGAAAGTTCATCAGCATTTTCCAACGTGGTTTCCCCTTGTCAGTGTTGCAGGATAGAGGGCCTGTCAAGGACAGCTGTCTAGTCAGTGATGCATGATGGAGGGCCTGACAAGGACAGCTCTCTAGTCGTTCGGATGGTATGAAAAAAAAAACTAGGTCCTGTGTATACATTGGTGTGCATGTAAAAGATCCCTTGGCAGTTGGAATTCGATATAAGAGTAGGCCAAAGTGCCGCTGTCCGGGAACAATTTCCCGCATAGCACACTGTATGGCATATGTCGGTCTTCATTAGCCCAGTCGGAGCAGAACAGAGGGCATAAAACCCCATTTCATTTCATTTCTTTATTCTTTGATTCTACATACTTTACTAACCATACACCAAACATTTGACATGAAGAGAATCTAGGCTAAATGAAATTATGTGGAATTAAAATAAAAATGTAATTTTTTTCTTTATTAGCAGTGGTGATAATGATAGTAATTTAAGTAATAAATTATCCGAAGTTTATCATGAATTATCTGCTATAGAAGCAGATAGAGCACCTGCTAGAGCTGCCGTCATAATGTCAGGTTTAGGTTTCAGTCCAGGTTCACAAGACAGACCAACCAAGTAAGTCTATAGTTTCATTTACTGATGACCTGGCCCCGAGTCCACAACGCAATCTCAGATTTTACTCAACTTTCAATCACTGTTTATAAGAGAAATATCTTTGATCCAGAAACACAAAACTTTGCACATAGTTTCTTATTGATGTATTTGATACATTAAAACAAAAGTTTTATAAATGGTTTTATTTTAGTTAAAATAAGGCAAACAATTTTGCTTTGTGGACTTAGGGCCAGTAATTTCTTGGGAGTTAAATTGATTGGGAGCCACAGTGACTCAGTGAGTCTAGGGTTCGATCCTAGTCCAGGCAAATTTTCACGCATAGCTAAAGTCTGTCTTCATTATCCCAGTGGGTGCAGAAAAGTATTCATTAGTATTGATTGTGTTTCAGTGTTTTTAATTATAAAAACTGAATTCAACAGTATTGATTGTATTTCAGTGTTTTTAATTATAAAAACTGTGAATTCAACAGTATTGATTGTGTTTCAGTGTTTTTAATTATAAAAACTGAATTCAACAGTATTGATTGTGTTTTATTAAAGTTAGAATTAATTATAATTCACTAACAAGAGCCATAGTGGTAATTCACTATATCTGTCATTGTCTCTGTCTGTCTGTCTGTCTGTCATTTCAAGCTAACGCTAAGCAGAGCTAAGCAATTGCATTGGTCAATGCTTTAGGACAAGATAACTTTGATTCTATCTGATAGAGAGTGATGAAACTTAGTGTATAGTTTGCTTGATACTTTTGAAAAAAAGAAAAAATATGCGATAAAGTAAAATGTGTCATCTATTTATTTTGGATTTCGGCGGGGGACATCAGCCCCAATGTTGACTTGTTTTATTATACCAAGAGTTTGCTGGTGGTAATTCATCATATCTGTTATTTTATTAATTATACATAGAGTTTACTGGAGTTAATCTATTATAAATGTTCTTTTATTGTACAGAGAGTTTTCTGGTGGGTGGAGAATGAGATTGGCATTAGCAAGAGCGTTGTTTACCAAGTAAGTTTAAATACCTAGTTATCGGTATGAGATGATAAACCAAGGTTCACCCTTGATCTCACGATGAGAATGTATCTGGTGGGCTGAGAAGTACTTCTCTGGGGAGGTAACTGTGCCTAGCCATTCTGTTCGTACGAAAAACATTGATCCACCCATGCGCGTTAAGAACTGTTGGGAATTGAAGAAGAGTAGATTGAAGGCTACTGTCCGGGCAATATTATCATATCTCACATTGCACTATGATGGAAATATAAATTGGATTGTTTGGCCAAGAATCCAAACCCCATCCCATAACAATTGTAATTATTTTTTGATGCCACAAGTGCACACATAGTCACGCTGCAATAACGGAATGTAAAACTATTGAATTTTGTCGAAATGGACAATCAATTCACTTTATAATTTGTTTTTGTTTTCTTTCAGGCCAGATTTACTTTTACTTGATGGTAAGTTTTCTTTTCTTCTTGACAGAGAACATGAGTTTATTTTTCTTGGGGGCTGGATGGCTGAATGGTTAGCTTGTGCTTGCTGTATCATAAGGTCTGTCATCGATTCCCCGGTTTTACGTGATAAGAAGTAGGGTCACCTGTCAAACACAGATCTTTACTACACTAGAATCTGGAAGAGTTGTTATATAACCCGCATTCTGGATGATGTGAGGGATTAGCCAATGAAACAGTCTAAAACGGTGTTTGCCTTTAGGTGCATGGAACTGTGGGTAACCCACTATAAAACATACAGTCAAAAGGTCTGTCATGATTCAAGTGCCGGGGTTTTGATTTCCTGCTTGTACGTGGTTCCCCCCCCCCCCCAACTGCTAAAGCGAATTATTGAAATAAAATTGAGCCATATGTTAGTCCCAGAGTGATCTCTATGTAGTTTTTACATATACAATAAATAATATCTTGTGTTTATTTCAGAACCTACAAACATGTTGGATATGAAAGCCATTATATGGTTAGAGAATTATTTACAGGTTAGTCTATTTAATATAATCTCCCCCTCCTCCATTAACATACCCCCTCCCGTCACTTCCTTCACTCCCAATCAATTGAATCATTCTATAATATAGCTAATTTAATGTTGATTTAAGTTTTGACAAGATGTGGCATTGATTGTTTATTATTGTAACAACGATACTTGTTAATCAAGACTAATCCTTTATTCACCATTCATAAATTAAATCATATTTCAATCCATTTAAATCTCTGCCATCCAATGTTCTAGATAGTCTATTATAGGCTTGTCAGGTGAATAAATGTCTAAATAATAGTTAATATAACATTTGAAGCCAAAATAAAGACTTGCAATATGCAGATTTACCTTTTAACTAATGTATCTTTGGGGGGGGGGGGCTATCCAAAAATGTTTGTTCTGAATTTTTAAAGCTATTGAATTGAAAATAGTACAAGTAGTTAGGAAATGTAATAAACAAGGGAAAACTAGCATTAAGAAAAAGTTGTTGCCAGGGTAACACATTTTTTGGGAAAAAATTATGAAAAACATAGGTACGCTATATCTCTGTAACTAATTAAGATATCTTCATCAAATTTGCAGGGTATATAAACTAATATCTACCACAGAATCAGACAGAAAGCAGTTTGAATAATATTTCCAAAGTTATCAAAATATTTCTCCCAAAGACAAAAATATTGTAGTGAGGCAAATGTTTTAAACATCATTTTCCTAGAAACTATAAAAATTATAGAGAAAACCTCTCAGTCTGGTTTTAGGGTTATCATTAAAGAATAAGCAGTCCGAAAATGAGATATTTATCTTTATTATTATCAGAGATTTGGTGTACCTACGTTTTTCATACTTTTTCCCAAAAATGTGTTACCCTAGCAACAACTTTTTTTTTCTTTTTTTTTTATGTTAGTTTTCCCTTGTTTATTACATTTCCTAACTACTTGTGCCATTTTCAATTCAATAGCTTTAGAATTTCAGAAAACATTGTTCGGGTAGCCTCACCCCTTAACGCTCTTTTTTATTTCTTTTTTTTCCAGCAATGGGCATCCACTATTTTAGTAGTCTCCCACGACCAGATGTTTTTAAATTCAGTATCTACAGACATCGTTCATTTACAGTCATCGAAATTAGACACATATCGTGGTGATTTTGAAGCCTTTAAGAGAACTCGAGAAGAAAGATTAAAGAACCAGATGAAGGAATACGAAGCTCAGAAAGATTATAGAGAACATTTACAGGTACGGTGATCGCAAGATATCTTGGTTCTGATTGGCTTAAATTCATCATCTTTTAGACGATAACACCCTCTCCTACTTTGTTTGGTGTGAATCGTATCTGCATACAGATTTATAACGTAGTTCTGCCCTTGGACACTGTAACCCGGGTATCATTTAATCTTGTGTATCTAGTAGCACTGGCCGATTGGTTAGCATGCACGCGCTCTATTATACGGTATGTCATTGAGTCAACTGCCGTGGCCAAGATTTGTATTTTGTATAATGTTTTTTTTTTGTTTATATGTATTTTTAGGTGTTTATAGATAGATTTAGATATAATGCTAACCGAGCTGCCCAAGTACAAAGCAAGTTAAAGATATTAGAAAAACTGTAAGTAACTAAATCACTGGCTTGTATTTGGTTAAATTTAGATACACAATTTGAAATAAAACGTCCCCTGAGATTGTAAATCAGGTTAAATTCTGTTTTCGTAGTCTAGATCACCAAGACATTATATATAGTCTACATCACCAAGACCTTAAACAAACTCAGCCTTTGTGGTTAAAAACTGACCTAGATTTATTTATTATTGGGGGTTGGGATGGCCTAGTGGTCTAGAGTGTCACGCTTTGACCTCTAGCTGGCCGGTCACCTCTGGCTTGCGGTTGTGGTTTCGATCCCTGGTGTGAGCGTATGTGGCTTGGAGATAGGGGCGCCTTCTCAACCTCGTGGGTTTACTCTGGGTACTCCGGTTTCCTCCCACAGGAAAGTCCCCTGCGAGTGCGCTAAGTTATTAAAAATGAAAAATAAGACTTGTCTACGATATCACCTTTGGTTGAAGCGGACATTAAACACTAAGAACAACAACATTTATTATTCTAAGAAACAAATGATCTGATTCTAAAGGATAACTCTTCAAACCAGCAAAAATTACACAATATGCACTTTTCAAACCAAATTAATAAATTAATCTGTTGATTACTCAACACTGCTGTAGAAACTAAACAGTTATAAACCCAACACTCATTATCAAATCTAGACAGACCATTTAAACTAAACAACAGTAGAAACTAAATAGTTTTCTATAATTCTCAATGGATTTGATCAGTTTTCTAACAATGGTTTCAAACTAAACATTAAAAATACAGAAACTCCTGCCAAAACAACACAACTACATAATACCTGGGTTGTAGTGAAATTTCCCATGGGGTTCTTAGTAGACAAACAACCATTCAAGTCATGTAGACATTTTATAAACACAATGATTTCTCTCAGTGTTTGAATTATATTGTCTCCAAACTGAATTTTCTCTCAATGTTTTGTTATTTTATTTATTTATTTTTTTTGTTTTTTTTTCAGACCTCCACTTGTTCCTATAGTAAAAGAAACAGAAGTAATATTAAGGTATGTTAACGCATGTGTGTTAGAACATATGGTCTGTCATTGAGTCATACTGTGTGGTTTTGATTCCCAGCTTGTAAATGACAACGACTAGGGTTTCCTGCTGAACCTTGTGGGTTTTTCCCAGGTCTGCTGGTTTCTATCCACTGTTAAAGATCCCTACACACAAGTGACTCTCTCTCTCTCTCTCTCTCTCTCTCTCTCTCTCTCACCTGGGGATTGGATGGCATGGCCGAATGGTTAGCATATGTGCGTTGTATCATAAGGTCTGTCATTGAGTCAACTAACGATATTTCAATTCCCCGTTTGTATGTGACAAGGAGTAGGGTCGCCTGTCCAACCTTGTGGGTTTTCTCTGGGTCCTCCAGTTTCCGCCCACTGCTAAAGACACCTACGTGCAAGCAGACTACTCTCTCTCCCTCTAAGGAAAGATCAGTTTGTTGCATACTAAATAAGTTACAGTTAATGGTGTTGAAGGGATCTATGTCCTGTCATGCTGTTATTTTATTATTATATTATATATTTCAGATTTCCTGAATGTGAATCTCTTTCTCCGCCAATATTACAACTAGATGAAGTAGAATTTTATTATTCAAAAGATCAACCAATATTTAAAAATATCTGTGTTAATGCATTGATGAACTCCAGAATATCTATAGTAAGATTACTTAATACAATTATAGGGGCAGTGGGTGGTCCAGTTTCCTCTCACTGCTAAAGACCCTTACGCACAAGTGAATTATTGAAATAAAATTGAACCATATGTTAGTCCTGAAATGACCTAGTTTGTGTCGAGTGGACATTAAACCCCTCTCTCTCTCTCTCTCTCTCTCTCTCCCCCTCACTCCCAATTGAACCCAAACCAGAAGAATATTGTTGATATTGGTTGTGTCTTCTATTAATTAAATGTGCATTGTGCAATAGCAATCCCATGTAAACTACAATATTGTGAAAGATGAATCTCTAATAGAGATATCAGCCCAAAAATGGTTAAATTCCGTGCAGTAATTATAAAATGAAATGGGGTTTAACATCCTACTGTTCTGCTCCTGTTGGACTAATGAAGACGGGCATACGCCATACAGTGTGCAATGAGGATACTTTTGCCCGGGCAGCAGCATTATCGCCTACTCTTAAATTGAATTCCAACTGCCAAGGGATCTTTACGTGCACGGCAATGCATACACAAAACCTCAGGGTTTTTTTTGTCAGATCCGAATGACTAGACAGCTGTCCTTGTCAGGCCCTCCATCCTGCACCATAAACAAAGGGAAACTAGGTTGGAAAATCCTGATGAACTTTTCTCGGCCAATGCCGGTATCGAACACGCGAACTCCAGGCTAGCGAGCCAGCATCTTACCCACTTACCCACCGTAGGTCCCAGTAATTATAAAGATATAATGAACTATATGGGATGTTAAATCTATCTATTTTATTGTTTATTTAGGTTGGTGAAAATGGAGCCGGTAAAACAACGTTATTAAAGATTTTATTAGGAGAGTTATCTCCCGTGAATGGTTTAAGACACGCTCATCGTAGTTTACGGATTGGTTATTTTAGTCAGCATCACGTGGATCAACTTGAGATGAACATGTGTTCAGTAGAACTGTTAGCATCAAGGTTTCCAGGTAGGTATTATTATATTAATCATCAAGGTTTCCAGGTAGGTATTATTATATTAATATGTTGTATTGCTAGATGAACATGTGCTCAGTAGAACTGTTAGCATCAAGGTTTCCCGGTAGGTATTATTTATATGTTTCAAAAAGTTCAGGCCATCTGGCTAAAAGCTAGATCGATCCAACTGTAACACAAAAGAAAACCCATGCAGAGTTTAACCATTAACCGGTCAACATCATTTTAATGTCATGACGTCAAGTGGTCAGGCTAAATAAAGGCTAAAGTGAAATATTTTGTATGCCTATTTCAATCGAATACCGCCGGATAATTATAAGTGATAGACTCTTGACCCCAATAAAAAAGTTGAAGTGGATAAGTTGTTGTATAATTCGCAAATCATTCTAAATCATTTTCATCAGAAATATCGTCTTCAGAATTGAGTCGGAATCATTCATAAGCATTTCAACCACTTTGAGAGTCTTTAACCTTCTCGACATCGTTAAATTATGTTTTTGTCCAAAAATGTCAATTAAGTACGAAACTAAATACTCAAATGGGGCTTATAAAAAGGTTCTTGCTGTGGTCGACTTTAGTTGACCGTGACCACTTAGCTGTATAACGTTGTGGTGATTATAGTCGACAATGACCGGTTAAGGGTTATATACCATTATCCCATTACGCGTACTATTATTCGCTCATGGTGTTTAAAGCTGTGCTAATCAAAATGAAATGAAATGGGGAGATTTTACGTCCTACTGTTTTGCTCCTACTGGGCTAATGAACCCGTCTTCAATAGCCCAGTTTTTGCAGAAATGTAGGACATTAAACCCCATTTTATTTGTATTTAAACAACATGTATACGATCTGTAAATATTGTATTGTTTGTTCAGGTAAACCAATAGAACAATATAGAACTCAACTAGGATCATTTGGTGTGAGTGGTGAATTAGCCATGAGACCTGTAGCTAGTCTGTCTGGAGGACAAAAGAGTCGTGTAGCATTTGCTGTTATGAGTTTAGCCAAGTAAGTATTAAATTGTATGGAGAGTCAGTAATTAAAATGGTGACTTGCGCTAACCGGGTCACGGGGGGGCGGGTTGGTTGGCCCAATGGTTTTGTTAGCACGTGCGCGCTGTATCATAAGGCCTGTCATTGAGTCAACTGGCCTGGTTTCGATTCCTCGGTTGTACGTGACAAGGAGTAGGGTCGCCTGTCCAACCTCGTGGGTTTTCTCCGGGTCCTCCGGTTTCCTCCAACTGCTAAAGACCCCTACGCGCAAGCGAATTATTGAAATAAAATTGAACCATATGTTAGTCCCGAAATGACCTAGTTTGTGTCGAGTGGACGTTAAACCCCATTTCTCTCTCTCTCTCTCTCTAGTAAGTAAGATGGTGACTCGCGCTAACCAGGTCACGGGGGGTTGGATGGCCGAATGGTTTTTGTTAGCACATGCGCGCTGTATCATAAGGCCTGTCATTGAGTCAACTGGCCTGGTTTCGATTCCTCGGTTGTACGTGACAAGGGGTAGGGTCGCCTGTCCAACTTCGTGGGTTTTCTCCGGGTCCTCCGGTTTCCTCCCACTGCTAAAGACCCCTACGCGCAAGCGAATTATTGAAATAAAATTAAACCATATGTTAGTCCCGAAATGACCTAGTTTGTGTCGAGTGGACGTTAAACCCCATTTCTCTCTCTCTCTCTCTCTAGTAAGTAAGATGGTGACTCGCGCCAACCAGGTCACGGGGGGGTTGGATGGCCGAATGGTTTTGTTAGCACATGCGCGCTGTATCATAAGGCCTGTCATTGAGTCAACTGGCCTGGTTTCGATTCCTCGGTTGTACGTGACAAGGGGTAGGGTCGCCTGTCCAACCTCGTAGGTTTTCTCCGGGTCCTCCGGTTTCCTCCAACTGCTAAAGACCCCTACGCGCAAGCGAATTATTGAAATAAAATTGAACCATATGTTAGTTCTAAAATGAACTGGTTTGTGTCGAGTGGACATTAAACCCCATTTCTAACTCTCTTTCCCTAACCAGATCACAGGTTCACTGCCTGAGAAAGTTTCTCAGCATTTTCCTGTTTCAGTGGTGCTGGATGGAGGGCCTTGGACAGTGTCTAGTCGTTCAGATGGGACAAAAACATGAGGTCCTTAAAATAACCCTTTAAAGTTGGATTTCAGAGTAAGAGTAGGCCATAGAGCTGCTGTCGTGTCAACATATCCCTTATAACACAATTTATGGTGTATGCTCGTCTTCATTTTCCCAGTTATTTCATTCTTATGAGAATTTGTTTTTTTTAATTTTTCAGTCCGAATTTCTTTATACTTGATGAACCTACAAATCATTTAGATATGGAAACTATTGAAGCTTTAGGACATGCTTTAAATAAATTCAAGGTCAGTAAATATTCACTAATGTTTGTCAAGTTTTGTAGTTCTCGATGTCATATTGGATAATCCTCAATTTAAGTAATCCTCAATGTTTGTTAACTTGAGTAATCTCCTGCTTGAGTAATCTCTGTGTTTGTCAGTTTGTGTAATCCTCAACTTGAATAAACTTGATGTTTTTATTCAGCAGTAACTGTTTTGAATGTGGAATGGAGAATGGGAGAATAAACAAAACCATTCTCTTTGTATACCATTTAGTAATGCAACAGAGAGCCAAGTCGGCTTGTTGAGTTTTGTTACTAGCTCCTTGAGCCCGGTGTTGGCTGAGAAAGTTTCTCAGGACTTTCTGTGGTGCAGGATAGATGGATTTGCAAAGAAAACTGTCATAACTTTCGGATGGGATGTAAAAAAACAACCTCCCATTTAAATCATTGTAACACTGCTGTCCAGGCAATTTTTCCCCTCGTTAAACCATCTTCTAGAACTGGGTTAGAGCAGAAGAGCATGACATCAAACTCCTTTTCATCTGTGTGTGTGTGGGGTGGGGGGGGGTCTAGAAATGGTTCCACTACTGATGTCTTCCGCCTTACTCCAGCCACAGTAGTGGCTCATCCTACGAGAGTTCCTTTGCTCAAGTTTTTTAGTGAAATCACTACAAAAAGGTTATTGGCCTATACCTCCCTTAATTTACACATAAACTGACCCAAAACAGTACTGCACCTAGCTTAACATATAATAAATCAATTCCTATTGAAAAAAAGGTGAATCCTTACCGCATAATTATATGATTTGATGAAACTCAACTGTTACGCGAAATTTCAACTGGCGTGTCATGGCCGCCATGGCGGCTTGTTGTGTGTAATACGTCATTACAAGAAACATTGCTATGCAAATGTAGAACGCATAACCACAAAGAAAAACTGTTCGGTAACTGTTTAGTGGCCAAGTCTTCACTATTTGTCATAGAATTACTTATTCCAATACAAACTGTAATGATATGTGTTGACAATTGTGCGTTTGAACCTATTTGAACTTGCGTAAGGATTCTTAGACTGTATCAATTGTAACGTTAAACAAACAAGTATAGTAACTAGGGGGGGTCTAGTGGTTTAACACATCTGTCATTGCATCAAGTGGCAGGGTTCTATTCCCTGTTTGTACCTGACAATTAGGGTTGCCGGTCCAATCTCTCTTGGGTTTTCCCTGAGTCTCCCCCACCCCCTCTCTCCCTCTCTCTCTCTCTCTCTCTCTCGTCCCCCCCCTCCCAATTCATATCCTTAGGTAATTAAATGTCAAGAGCGGTTGCCTGATACACAAATTGATATGATTAATATTACAGGGAGGTGTCGTACTCGTATCTCACGACGAGAGACTGATTAGAAAGATTTGTAAAGAATTATGGGTAGTAGCTAACGGCACTGTGACGTCGCTTGAAGGTGGTATTGATGAGTACAAGAAAATAGTAGAAGCAGAATTAGCTGTCAAGAGTTGATGATAAAATTCGTTTAGGAAATATGACTCTATAAATAGTGTACATAGAACAGTTATAAATAAAATAAACTATTTAATATAAATATGGACATGTTTTAAAGGAGAAGAAGAAGATGGATCGTATAATATTACTACACAAAATGATGTGCCATTATTTGTCATGTTAGAAGTATTGTATGCCACATTGCAATCCATATATCATATTGAAATGTATGTCATATTACAATTTATGTCATATGGCCTTGTATGTCCTATTATAATGTATGTCACATTACAATGTTAGTCATATTACAATATGTGTTACATTACAATGCATGTCATATTTTGTATCACATTACAATGTTTGTCATATGTCGTATTACAATGTATGTCACATTGCAGTATATGGTATATTGCAGTGTATGTCATATTGTGATGTATGGCACATTGCAATGTATAGCATATTGAAGTATATGTCATATTGCAGTATATGTCATATTGCAGTATATGTCATATTGTGATGTATGGCACATTGCAATGTATGGCATATTGCAGTATATGGCATATTGCAGTATATGTCATATTATAATTTATGTGATATTACAGTATGCCACATTACAATGTTTGCCACATTACAATATATGTAATATAATAATATGCCACATTACAATGTATGTGATATTACAGTATGTCACATTACAATGTAGGTCATATTTCAATGAGGATGTTAAACCCCATTTTATTACAATGTATGTATGTCTCATTACAATGCATGTATGTCACATTACAATGTATGTCACATTACAATGTTAGTCATATTGCAATGTATGTCATATTACCGACGGGGAAGAGGGGGGGTCTAGAAAATTTTGAGAGGTTCTGATCTCGAATTATTAAGTCCTAGCTGCTTGAAACTGGGTCCGGAGGCCATAGGCCCTGGCTGATATCGACATTGGGTCGCACCATCGAGAGCAATTTACCGCATAGTATAGCGAATTTAAATAAGATTTGAGGCAGACTTGAACCATGTTGCTGTGTTTTCTTATAAAAGCAAAATTTGGTAATAAATAAAGAGTAAACATCTCTATAATTGACTTTTGTCAGCATAGAATTTGGGCGTAAAATAATTTGGGCGCCCGTATGTTTTTCAGAACCAAATTGGTCTTAGATACTCCCCTGTATAACAATGTATGTATGTCACATTAAAATGTCTGTATGTCACATTACAATGTCTGTATGTCACATTACAATGTATGTATGTCATATTACAATGTATGTCATATTACAATGTATGTCACATCACAATGTATGCCATATTACAATGTATGTCACATTACAATGTATATCACATTACAATGTATATCACATTATAATATATGTATGCCACATTACAATGTATATGTCACATTACAATATATATGTCATATTACAATGTATGTATGTCACATTACAATGTCTATGTCATATCACAATGTATGTATGTCATATCACAATGCCTGTATGTCATATTACAATGTATGTATGCCATATTACACTGAGTATATGTCACATTACAATGTGTGTATGTCACATTACAATGTGTGTATGCAACATTACAATGTCTGTATGTCATATTACAATGTCTGTATGTCATATTACAATGTCTATTTCATATTACAATGTATGTATGTCATATTACAATGTATGTATGTCACAATATATGTCATTTATAGTTTTATCTGTGGTTTTAAATCATTCAGGAATTTAAAGTGACAAATGCTGAAATAAAAGACAACCCAGGTATATATAGATATAACTGCTTCTCTGTTATTTAATAACTGGTCATGTTTTCAAGTTAATAATGCTGATATGTCTCAGATCTAAACTTTAAATATGTGATAGATGCTGATTCTTATTTGTATTTTTAGAACAATATTAACTTTCCATGGATTAATCCAAGCTAAAATAATTTAACATTTAACCCTTAATTATAATATTAACAGTAAAACCAGCTCCCAAAAAATCGAATTTGAAAAGGCCCATTAAAATATTTTTTATAGGGAGGTTTTTGGGGGGTGGTGGGGGCTGAATGGTTAATCCATGCTCCTTGGATCAGAAGGTATGTCATTGATTCAAGTCGAGTGGTTTTGATTCCCCACTTGTACGTGACAAGGAGTAGGGTCGCTTGTCCAACCCTGTGGATTTTCTCTAGGTTCTCCGGTTTCTTTTAAACACCCCTACGCACACACGAATTGTTGATATAAAATTGAACCATATGTTAGTCTCGAAATGACCTAGTTTATGTTCAGTAGACATTAAACCTCATTTCTCTCTCTGTCTTTATTTTTTTGGAACTGCAGATTATGATAAATGTTGTAAGATATTTTAATTCATTGTATCTGTGTAAATATTGCATGAATTCAACCAATGACATCAAAATCTGATTAAAACACAGATCCTATTTTATTTCGTTTTTTATAGTTCAAAATTTCGTTTTATTTGTCTGTACTATAATAGGATCTGGAAGAGTTGTAATATAACAGGCTTTCTGGATGGCATGAGGGGGATCACGGTGGCTAAGTGGGTAAGGCGCTGGCTCGCTAGCCTGGAGGTCGGGTGTTCGATCCCTGCATTGGCCGAGAAAGTTCATCCAGATTTTCGGGCGTGGTTTCCCCTTGTCAGTGATGCAGGACGGAGGGCCTGACAAGGACAGCTGTCTAGTCATTCGGATGAGACGAAAAACCGAGGTCCCGTGTACACATTGGCGTGCACGTAAAAGATCCCTTGGCAGTTGGAATTCGATATAAGAGTAGGCCGTAGTGCCGCTGTCCGGGCAAAATTTCCCTCATAGCACACTGTATGGCATATGCCCGTCTTCATTAGCCCAGTTCGGAGCAAAACAGTAGGACGTTAAACCCCATTTCATTTCATTTTTGGATGGCATGAGGGATTAGCCAGTTAATGGAACTGTGGGTAAACCACTAGAAACGTCATCACTGATTGATTAATCAATGTCTGACGTAACAAGGTAAAAAAAAACCGCTCGTACGACCCCTGGCGCAACCTTCCAGTACAGCCTGTCAAATCTTCATTTAGTGTAGGCCATCGAAAGTATAAAAAAAATGAAATGAAATATAGATCTGTATTTTAATCAGATTGTGACGATCAAAAATGACGATAAGATTTTGTCCTCTTCTAAATGAATTAGGCATATAAACGGGCCTGTTTCACGAAATTTTAACTAAGATAAAATCCAAATTTTAGTAATTTGATTGGATAATATTAGATTAATATTAGTGCGGAGCCTATTAAACTTGAAGTATCTACTAAAATTTGGATTGTTTCTTTAGTTAAGATTTCGAGAAACAGGGCCCCAGAGTATTGTTTTATATGGCCTTATAATGAATGGAAGAATACTGAACAATGTGGATGAAATAATCAAATACTGGTTTATAAATATGGAGTCCATTTCAATTCAATTCAGATCCACTTATAAAATCTCTTTAAAGATGGGAATTATATTCTGAAAAATCCTTGAATTATGTTCAAATGATCCAGAGATGTGAAAGATGTTTCATGTTTGAGGAATGTTGCTGGTGTGTTTGAGTGTTTTCATTCTGAATTCTTGTGTTGATGTGCCATATTTGATGTAGTCGCAATCTGCCGTCACCTCTCGATGGCAATTTTTGTTGGGATCCGATTGTTCCTTTGAGTGGTCAGAAACAACCATATTGTAATTCCACACTTCCATTGCAAATTTTAGAGTTACCTCCCCTTATGAAAACTTATGCATAGGATACAGGACAAAGTTCTCAATGAAATGTTTTAAACCGTAATGAGGTTGTTCCTTAGGGTATAATGAAAAACCCAAACAAAAGTTTTCAATGGAATATTTTAAAATTTGATGGTATAGTTCATTTGTCATTTGAAGGAACCTTATCGAAATTTCAATTTTTTTGACCACACTCTTCACCATTTTAATTTATATTTGGATGGTATATTTTTGCAAGTAATAACTTCCACATGTAAAATAGTATATATAATACGTGTATGTTATATTTAAATGTGAAATCATGAATTTTGTAAAATAAAAATGATGCTTAACGATGATGAAATTTTCCGTGTTTTTCTGATCAAGTGAGGGGGGTTGGATGGCAGAATGGTTAGCGTGCGCGCGCTGTATCATAAGGCCTGTCATTGAGTCGACTGGCGTGGTTTCGAATCCCCGGCTGTACGTGACAAGGAGTAGGGTCGCCTGTCCAACCTCAGAGGTTTTCTCTGGGTCCTCCGGTTTTCTCCCACTGCTAAAGATGCCTACTGCAAGCGAATTATTGAAATACAATTGAACCATGTGTTGGTCCCGAAATGACCTAGTTTGTGTTGAGTGGACGTTAAACCCCATTTCTCTCTCTCTCTCTGATCAAGTGATCATATGTGTGTGGTTTAGATCGTAAGCTCTGTAAATGAATAGGGTCACCTGTCCAATCTCAAAGGTTTCCCCCAGGTTTCCTCCCACTGCTTAGACCACTATGCGCAATAAAAATGATTCATATGTTAGTCCTGAAATGACCTAGTTTATGTCGAACGTGTGTAAAACTCCATTGATATCTCTCCCTCTGTATTTTCGCTTCATGAGCAGCAGTCAGTGAAAGACAAATTACTGATGAAGTTGGGGTGTCTCTGGTTTCGATTAGGGGCTTGGTGACTGCTGATTTTGCGTGAGGCACAAGGTCGGGGGGGGGGGCACAAAACCCCACTATTTTTACCATTGGGAGAGGGGTCTGAACTCTGAGCTAACTGATGTTTGTACCAGTAAATTTGGGGTTGGTCTCAAGATAACACTAGTCAAAATTAATCTGATTAAAACACAGATCCTATTTCATTTCGTTTTTTATAGTTCAAAATTTTGTTTTACTTGTCTTCACAACACTGAGATCTGGAAGGGTTGTTATATAACAGGCGTTCTAGTTGCTGGAGGAATTAGCCAACGAAACGGTCTGTTAAGAGTTTTTGGCGTTTTTTGCACGGAAATGTGGGTAAACCACTAGAAAAGTTATCACTGATTAATTAATCAATGTCTGGCTTCATAAGATCAAAAGCCATAAGATCATGGGGTCAAAAGCCGCTCGTATGACCCCTGATGCGAGCTCCTAGTACACTGGTCAGATTTTCATGTAGTGTAGGCCATTGAAAGTATAAAAAAAAAACGAAACGAAATATAGATCAAATTGAGTCAAAATTTTACTGGGAATTGTAACTTATTCCACCAATTTTGTAAAGTTTTAAATGTGACAATGTGATGGACAAGGACTGCTACCCCTTATGTAGTTTATGAATTTATGACAATTCTTTTTCCCCTGTTTGCGGCTTTTGCATGAGGATTTTTGCTGACTTTTTGGTCTAGATAAAAAAAAAAGGGTTTTATAATTTGGTGAATATTCATGAATTTATAATTTGGTGAATATTCATGAATTTATAATTTGGTGAATATTCATAAGTTTGAGGATTAGGGACTAAACACACATGAATTGGGGAAATCGCCAACGAAATATTTTTATCTGATGATTGGGCTCTTTGTTGTTTCAAAAAAAAATGTGATTGGTCATTGTAGTATTTTTGGGAGTGCTCGATTGTCAGGCCAGAACGTCCCGAATTGACAGAATTGCAATCAAGTGATACGGAATTCAGTCCTGTCACAGTTCTGCCAGTCCCGACAGCTGAGGTGGTGTGAGTAGAATCGTGACGTATTTTAAGTAACAAATATGTTTCAGCTGCCATGATTGGTTGAGAAATTTTTTATGCAGTCGGCACATGCGTTGTACTCTGAAATTCTCCTATTCACTCAATTGACACTATTTAGGGAATAGAGATAATTTAATTCCGGAATGTTCAATCGAGTTTTACCTATGACTACGTTTCGTATTATTATTATTATGTGATGTACGACGTCATACCGGTAGAATATTCTGATGTTCGTTTTACTCATAGTGCTTTAGTGTAACATGTGCTTCTGGTAATAAAGATGTCCTCGATCAAGTTTTGATGTGTCAGTGGTTTATCGCCCTGTAGTGATTTATTCACTTTGTGTGTAGGCCTATCAGTTACTACAGTCATGTATGGGAAGAGAATTACTAGTCTGACCCCTGATGAGAATACACCTATTTATAGTTACCTCCCTTTAAGCGCATTTACCAGTAAAAAAGCACAATCTGTTTTACAGACCTAATTCGACATCCGTCTTTTATCTCTGTCCAAGATGACTGACCTTTAAAAGATCAGACCGCTGTAGTTCTAAGGGTGACGTCACATCACAATGTTTACCAACAAAGCAAGATGGCATCGATAACGCCAAAAAAATATTACTTCTGTGGCTTGTTTTTGTTGTTTTAAAACAAACACGAGCAGGTCAATCAGATTAGGCAGTAAAAAATGTACTTCTGAAAGAATTCAGAGTAAACAAACAGAAAAAACGTCAAATTGATGGTCACACGTGCGTTGTTTACATCGAACGTAGTAATATGAACTGGTACGGGCAGAATTATATCGTTTTACCCATTTTACGCCTCCGCGTACTATTTTCTGTACCTATTTACGCTAAATATGGAATATTTTTTCATCAAGATATACTTCAAACACCTTTATTTATTTTTCTAATACTAAAAAAAAATGTTTCAGAATTTAATTTGTCGAAAAAAAAAAGTTAATATTTTTTAGTCATTAAGTCGCATCGATGTCATCCTTATCAGTGATTGTAGCGGCCAAGCGAATATTCACTGCGGATCAGTGTGATAAAAGCAGACACCAAAACAGACACACTGATCAGCAGTGAATATTTGCTGCTAGGCTGCTACTATCACTGATAAGGATGAAATCGATGCGGCTTAATGAGCCCAAATATTAACTTTTTTCCTCCGACAAATTAAATTCTAAACATTTTTTTATGTATTAGAAAAACAAATAAAGATGTTTGAAGTATTTGTAGGTAAAAATTATTTCCTATTTTAGTGTAAATGGGTATTAAAATAAGTAAAAGGCAGCATTCTGCCCGATTCAGTTACGTCTTATGTAAACAATTCACGCGCCATTGAGCCAATGATTGACGCCGCGTGATGTGACGTCATATGTTGAAAGCAGTCATCTTTTACAGGGATATTAGAAGACTTTCGTAATCCTCTTTCGTAATCCTCTGTGAAACAGATTTCAAAACAGATTGTCGACGTTGTATTATGGAAGTGGTGCTATATAATTACAGAATAAGAATATCACATTAAAATGTGGCCAGATTATCTAAGATTTAGGAGAGATAGAGAGAGAAAGAGGGGGGGGGGACATCACTTTCGGGACTAACATATGGTTCAATTTTATTTCAATAATTCCCTTGCACATAGGGTTCTTTAGCAGTGGGAGGAAACCGGAGGAACCAAAGAAAACCCACAAGGTTGGACAGGCGACCCTGCTCCTTGTCACGTACAACCGGGGAATCGAAACCAAAAACCATTCCAGTTGATTCAATGATAGACCTTATGACAACCATTCGCCCCCTCCACAACTAAAAAAAAGAAAATTATCGAATTGTATAAAACTTGAGGCCCGTCGGCTCCTCGCTGCCGTACTTCTCGTCCAGATGGTACCAGAGCTGTCACCTGTGACTTACAAGTACTCTTTACGCTAACAATTCTCGTCGACGTTAATTATTGTCCTTGCTCGTTATTGTCCCTTTTTTCAGTCTCGCTGAAATTGCTCGTCTGGTTGTAAAAAGGAATGCATTTAAAACGAGTCACCAATTGATGTCATATATTTATAGACGCTTGCGAGTCAAGCAGACCACCCTCAACTCATTTTGAACATGAGAAAAGGTCGTCAATGGACATGCTCCAGAAATAGAAACAGGAAGTCGCCTCCTTCTGAGCGCCATTAAGACGTCATTGGTCGTTAGTCTACGTCATACTATTCTGAGCTTTCTAAAATTATCGGGTAAAAAATGTCTGATTTCATGGAACAATAACCGCCATGTTGTTCAATTAAAATCAAAAGAAGAATTAAAACAGTTCCCAA